ACCATGTAGGTTTTAGCACTTAATATTGGTAGCAAGACTCTCGTAAATGTATTGATTTTTACGTCTTTCATCCACTATTCAATAAATATGACATAAATTGAGGTTAAGTATTAATGAAAAATCTAATTGTGGAAGTTTAATTACTTTTTTTATTACTCACATAAAAATTATATGTCACCTATTTATAGAGCAATAAAAGTGTCTTAATATATTATGAAGTGATGGTATGTAATAAAAATAATCGTTGCTCGTGTTGATTATATTTTGGGCCAAAAGCTGATTTATCCAAAATGTAATCTTATAGATCTCCTTTCTTGAACCTACTTTAACAGTAACATCAATTACGGACGCTACTCAGTGCCTACACCGAATGACACAAATTCGGTACTACAAATTACTTTCGTGTAAGGCTTTGCAATATAATAAAAGCCCAGAAGCCCGGACTCGTACACTTTCATTTTTAACCACGCACTTATTTATATAGTTTTCCTTAGATCCCAAGGATGCAACAAGTGGAAGGACTTATTTAAACAAATTTTGAATAACACTGCGCACGAATTTCAAATTCAACATGAGAAATCTAATCCTGGGTTGTAAAATTTAGGGTTAGATTAAACAAAATATTGTTAATTGACAAAAAAAATACATTTATTTGGGCTACACACAAATTGAAAATGGTGAAAGAGAGAAAGGCTTTCAGGACCTGTTTACAGATACCACACATGCAACCGATCGATACACAATATTAATTAAAGAAATCTGAATTGCTTACAGTTTCTTATAATCAAAAAATCTGGTCGTTTTACCGCACAAAGAATTAAGTAAACACTCGCTAGCAGCTTCTTCATTTCTTTTCTATTACACTTAATTTTGGTGACACCAAGCTGAATTTGATGACTAAGTTTGGGACTTCTTGAACGGTGGAAGCGAAAAGCCTCCTACGGCGAAAAGCAACGGCAAAAAAAGTCTCGTTTTTGGGTATGTTCTCGTATTTAAAGGATCACTTCTACCTTAAAAATCTCTTTAAGATTTCGTAAATAAATAGTCAATCAGAACCAGATTTGATTAAAGCCGCCCTCAAAATAAACTGACCACATGTTGTTTTTTATCGGCGAAAACCCGTGCTGATCTTGAAATCAATCAAATTTCTCCTTACGTAACCAGATAACAAAAGTTCGTATCATATACACTGTCTCAGATCGACCCGGAAAAATATTTATAGAATGTGGCCTGTAGAATCCATAATTTCAAACAGTTCCAAGATTGGGCTACTAGTTCAAAAGTTACAGCCCTTTGAATTTTTTTCGAAATTGGTTTCTAGTCTATAACTTTTGATTGAGAAGTCTGATCGAAAAAGTACGAATTGATTTGGATTCTACGCGCCCAAATTAATAAGAAAAAGTGTTTTGCCGAGAAATTTTGGTGCAGTCGATTTTTGGTAAAAAAAGGTTATACACAGGGGCGGACTGGGTACTTACGGGCCATTAAAGTATTAGTGTAGTAATGAAGGTGGCGGGGGGGAGGGGGGGTAGCTCTGAGGTGCACCACAAAAACATTTTAAAGTACACTTTTCTCGAAAATCAATTACCATACAGTTTTTTTTTAAATTGCAGCTGATAATTAAAAGTAACAAAATATACAATACACACGAGGTGCGTCGCTTATCATTGTATTTCAGCACTTTCAAAATACTACGACAAAAAATGATAAATTCATTGTAAAACACTTCAATTAAAACAGAATTTTTTAACAACCTAACATCAACTCCAATTAGAGAAACGTGTTAATAATTTATTAATAGTGCAAGAAACTAAATACAGCACATACTTATACATTTCCAACGGGTTCATTATGATCTACAGGCTAGGTGGCAATCGCCACCCGCCCCCCCCCGTGCCAGTCCGCCCCTGCTTAGCAGAAAGGCCAGATAAACCTTTTTATAAAATGCGCAAATACGACCTGATGTTTCTAACACGTGCTGATGGTCGGCCGACCATTCGAATTTGTCGACTGTTTGCTAAATCTATTTGCTATTACTCAATTTACTCAACTGGCAAGAGCAGTAGGGCCTTTGATAAGATCATTTGTATTTTTTGTTCAAAATCAAAATTCAAAATCGCGGAAGCAACCCCTTTTATAGAGTTTCTTTGGATCATGTTAGTGACAAGACTACTAAACATGCAAAAGTGTGATACAGCACTCGTGGTGAAGGTAGAAAGTGCCTGTGTCTTGATGACTCTTGACTCTCAGTGTCACGCAAAATGTTTCGCAAATAGTACCAGTATGTGAGCAAACCTTCAAAATTCAGTCTTTTCAGTCTAAAAGAGAAGAAAAGGGAGGAGTATAGAAAGGAGCAGGACGGGATCAGGCACCAAAATGGGGAAGGGGGGGCCATCTTGGAACAGGATAGCCGAGACGCTTAAAGAAGCAGCAGGGAAAACATTAGGGGGAGCGTAAGCCTACCATGTCTCCGAACAGAAAGCAAGCTATGGACAATTGGACAACCACAGAAGAGCACTGAAGTGGTTTGGGCAAAACCCGCACAAACCCGAAGCAAAAAAAGAACTAAGGGAGGCCAGGGAGGAGAAAAACAGAGCCTTTGAACAACATGAGATTAAGTAATTCGCTGAGTTTGCAGAGAACATCACCAAGCTTAGCCCAATGGAGAAGAATGCGCAAATGTATAAGCACATAAAAAAACAGAAGGAGGAAACAAGGAGGAACCAAAAAAAATGTACCAATGACAGCATAGGAGAAGATTCTGAAGGAGGAACACGAAGCACAGGTCCAGCTATTGGAGGAGAACGAGTATTGGCCACTACCCCCCCCCCCCCCGTTGGAAGAAATGATGGAGATAGTAGGAAGACTGAACGCTTCAGAATGGCTAATAAAGGACTAGGAACTTGGTCCCCAAGGAATGGCAGCAGACCACATATTCACAACCAGGAGGGTTATAGACGACTGGAGGTAAGGAACCAAAATATGGCTCCTAGCGATAGACCTAGTGAAGGCCTTCGACCAAGTGAAGCATAAAGCAATAGTCACCCCTCTGACTCTGACTCTGTTACTGGGACTGCCCAAATTCCTAACTAATAGAATTATAAACGCGTGCCTCAGGGAGTATACTAGTATACAATGGTTTGGGAAGAAGACTGAGCACCAAATAAAAACCAGAGGAATCAAACATGATCATTCGTTACATAGAAAACCGTAACATTGAGAACTTTCCGCGATACCATGGAGATAAGGAGATACCGTAATTAATTAGTCCGCCTACAACCGTTCCTGTTAGAATTTTAGAATTATTTTTGTAACCACCGAATGGTCTTGTACTGGAGATGATGGACAATTAATATTTTTTGGTTTCAGCGCCATTAATTGTTTATAGGCCGTTTTAGTTCCCCATAATAAGTAAAAAGCAAGGATAAAACAAGTTCCGAAGCTAGTTGTTTTGTACGTTATCAGTTGGCTGCGTGCCTGCAAGAATGAGATAACCGCCATTCGACTTTGTGGCCGAAAAACGTGTAATTAACATAAAGTCAAATGTAAGGAGTCCATGAGTTTCCGTTTGGCCTTTTGAATATGTATAATTAGCATACACTAATTAAATGAGTTACAGTAAAGAAGCATCTACCGAGGAGATTTGGTGTCAAATTGTGCGCGCTTAATTAACGAATAGATTTCCATATGTTCGGGAATTTTAGCACGAACAGGAGCCGAGTAATTAATTAAAAACTGAATTGATTGGTTTCGATTTCGTATTTCCTTGTTCCACTTCTACCACATTGGGTTTTTTTTATAAGAAAACGCTCAATTTTGGAAGGATCAATCTATCTTTTTGCATTCTACTTGCCGTAAATAAGTCCGTAAATCTGTTTTAGCCATTTTACGTACCGTTTTAGATCTATCTATCCTTTCGCGTTCTACGCGCCGGAAGTAAGTTTGATCTTTTGCCTGTTTTATTGACCTTTGTCCGACCGCGATATTAATTTTCCAAGGTAACCCGTTTTTTAATTACATAGGGGAAAATTGTTTTTATCCGTTATCCCGAATTTGCCCGCTATAAAAACCGCCACTTTAACTGTGACCAATTACTTTTCTTTCGCTAGGGAATTTACCGGTAGGCCATATTTTGTTTTAGAGTTCCAGACTGTACCGCCGCCATTTGCTGAACAGTTGCATACAGTTACATTGTTCCTTGGAAATGACATGGGTAATGGACAACATCAAGTACAGATAAAAATTTTAAATATCTCCGTTACGGCTTGAGCACAAAATTTGCATTATATGACAAAATTTGGCACAAAGTGAGCACAAAATTATAGCGTGACTTGAATATCTTCATGTCGGACCTGAATTTCATTGTAGACACGTAACTTTTTGGTTCAGTGGTTGATCTACATTCTTCCGGCTTTGAAATAGGTTTATCTTCACAATCTCGGCGAGAAAAACTCTTAGAAGATGGAATTTTGGTGGAGAAAGCAGGACATTTGTATACATATTCAAAATGGGACGGTAAGTAAATAGTGAAAGGTATCTTAAAAACCCGCTCCGTCGCGATATTGCAAAATGGGGATCAATTTGTCATTTTTGACAAATATCGCGAGTTACAAAAAGATCAGGATGAGTTTGTTAATGGGAAATCTTCACATTTTTACCAAATCTTCCGCACAAAATGTCTTGGCAATTAAAGTGTTTACTTCTTATAATCTTGTAAATGCCCGGAACACAAAATGGTTACGTTTAGGAACGTTACATACAGGAACCGAATAAAAGGATGATTTATGATACACGACACAATGAAAAACCATCACATTTAAATCCATGCTCAAGTGAAACTGCGACACACTTATTATGATCCTTCAGTGATAAATGAGTTGATGCAGTTGTCCGCATCGAATCTATTTTTTGATAATCATAAGTTTGCGTGTAACATGTCTTAATTATACTTCTTCAACGGACGTAGCATTAATTTGCACGAAAAGCATTCCTTATCTTACCTTCTAGAGTTTCCGAGCTGGCCATTGCTAAAACTGTCTACACTTTTGGGCAGTCCAGAAATCGATACCTAAAAAAATGGTATAATTTTATCACTGCAACTGACAGTTCAATTTGGGTTGGAAATATTCACATTTGCAATTGCAAATATTTTTTACTTTTGAAATAGGGATGATAATTTATAACGTACTACAATAAAAATGAGCTTCCATTGTTCATATTTACGCCAATCAAGATTACAATAAAGCCATCAGATACGTAATATGGCTGCACATAGTAAATGCCAAATTATTTTCAATTCGTTCATATATGAAAATATTTCTAAACGGAAATGATAAATGAGTGCTTTGGTGGATTTATGTATAGGCATCTGTATTAGACTATAATTGCATTTGATAACTTAAATCCTTCAAATTAAAGTGAATTATTATGGGGTCCAAAATAAAAACAATAAAGATGTGGCCACATTAACTTTTTATTCCACATAATCAGAATGCAAACTACCTACTATGCTAATGCCAAATATCTAATTAGACATTTCGCTTGACCTACATATCTTTAGAAGTAGGGCTTGCTTCCAATGTGTCAGCTGAAATTTAGACGAGGAACCTGACAAAATGTTGGCGGATGTGGAGGTAAATACAACTACCCACTGAGTTTGTGGTAGGTTAAGACGTGCAAATCTGCGTACACACACCGATCGATTACCAACAATTCTCAACCCCTGATTTTTATTTTAATGAAATCCCTTTGGAGAAACACCTTTAATTTGTAAAAATAGTATATACCTAATGCTAATAAAGAATTGAAATTATTAAAAAGCAACGAGTGTATAATTTGATCTGCGATAAAAATCAATTGTTTAACACAAAATTAGAAAGTAGAATTTAAAAATAGTCACTAACTCACCTTATACTTCATTCTAATACTAATCCTCACGTACGTAAGAAAATTATACGACTGGCTTAGTTGCGATAGCCCCAAAATTAGTCCCCCATAAGTTTGGATCCCTCCTTTTCGCGAATGTGTTCTGGTTATTAGCAATTTCATTTAATTCACCCATAACTGATTGCTGTTTATGTTTTTTTTAAAGAATCGGACGCCTATTATCGAGGTTATATACACTTTCAGAAACTGGTTCGTTGAGCTTCCGCGTCTTCGTTACTTAACATTAACGCTATTCCTTTCATTATTGAATAATTAAGATCGCAATCGTTTCAGTTCTGCATACTTAGCGAACTAAATTCTACCGACAGAAAAAGTGATTCGTTTAAAATTAAAGTGAAAATCTCTTCGTTCTGATTTATTGGGTTTATAGAAATTCAATTTTGATCAAGCTCCTGTACACGTACATATCCTAAAATTTTATTACACGTGAAAAAATGTAAATAGTCTAATTATACGCCAAAGATTTTATAGGAAGTAGACCGTAGAAGTAGCCGCCGTGTTAGCTTTTCCAATACAATTAACGCTTTTGAGGATGACACCTTACGCACACGGTTTGTTGCATAGGATGGATTTTTTAATATACAAGAATCTACAAGCTCGTGTCCCGAAACTCTTTTAAAGCGGTGTTTTCCAAGCATTTGAATATAGAGCGGATCTTTAACATATAAATTGGGAATTGAATTATCCGTTGTCTGTATAATGTGCATATGCAATAAAATTTGGAGAACATTGGATATGCAGCGATGCAAGCACCTCTCCTGTAAGGCCAGAGACATTTACATGATCAATTGACTATTTTGGTTAGATCAGTAACTAACATTAAGGTACACTGTTTTACAATTACGTTACGTAATTGGTATAAACAATTAAAAATATAGGTAAGACTACTAATGTACAATTAATTAACAAAGAGTAGGTAAATTCGTCCACTTCAGAAACGGACATTTCAGCACTGGGGTAACCTCGACATCAAAACATCTCGAGATATTTAGACTTCGGAACAGATCGGCTGTAGAACCATAGCGCAATGGAAAAATATTGAATGAAAGTAGAAATGCATAGACCTACAAAATACTAATCATAATATAAATTTGTAGATCCTCTCTCCTCCTGTTCTTAATGTTCTTAATGCTACTAAGTACCATATCTTGTTAAGAAAGCATCATCACATTTATTATGTATACGAAAGTAATAATTTCTATTTATTTAGTTACCTACATACATTTGTTCGAATTTTTACTGTTGTATAAAATATATAGGTAAACAAAGTAAAAATATATTAAATAAATGAGGCATGTGGCTACCACTGAGATGACAGAAACGCAATGACGATAAGGAGATCCACGCAGGTACTCTGCCATTATAATTATAATCTCACATAGGACAGAACAAGTTAAAAAAGTAATCGTACGCGATTTACAAAAAGCACATTTCCACTTGCCTTCATTTCCCATTTGTAAGGTGCAACCTTCTATTAAAATTTCGTAAAAATCCGACTACAAATAAGAAAGTTAGAGTGTTAGAGTTAGAGTGCTACTTGAATTTCAGTTTATAAGAAGAATCCCATCCTAACATTTTGGAAGAATTGGTTAACAAATAACGAATATGGGTCTGGGCATGCGCAAAAATTATTGTTTTGCGTGTTTTTAGTCGGATAGAATTGCGCATGCGCAAAACAAACTTATTTGATTCGGCATTAGTTTTACCTTTATTTGTGGTTCCTCCATGAAAAATTTCATTTAAATATCTCATAAAACAAGAAAAAACGGATTGCGCAAGTGCACAACAAATTTTTTGATTCGACATTAATTTATTTGAGTTACCTACACACAAAACCTCATTTAAAAATCTTAACAAAGGAAAATTGGATTGCGCAAAAGTTATGATGGACAACGTACGACGGACAGACAGACGGGCAGACCGCAATACAGCATTATAAAAGATCTCGCGGATTTTTAAAAAACGGCAAAAGTGTAACATTATAGCATTAATGACAAACAGATTTATTACCATAATTTTTTTCTTAAGCGGCACAAAGAAAATCCTTCCTTGGTGCAAGCCTCGACATCATAACGAACCAAATAGTAAAATGATTAGAACAATAGTTCTTAAGATAAAGAACTAGTAGCGACCGGACGCACGGGCAGACGGACGGACAGACCGACGGACAGATGGACGGGCAGATGGATCGACAGAGTGGACACAATAGCGTATTTTTTATAATTGTTGTGGAAATGCGCTAAAAATTAGATTTTCTTGATTCGGCATTAGTGCCTACGTACAAAATTTTATTTAAATACCTTAATAAATTAAAAAAATTGGATTGCGCATGGGCAAAGCAAATTTTTTAAATAAGCATCAATTTTACTTTTAACTAAGAACACGTGTACCAAATTTCAAAGCGATCGGACATTTCTAAACAAAGTTATCGTTCACACGAACAGACGACAGACAGCATTACAACGATCTGTAGGATCGTTAATAAACGGCAAAATTGTAAAATTATAGAACATGTAAAAGATGGTTTTTTGGTTTTTTACAATAACTTTTTTAGCAACAAACGCAGAACAAATTCCTTACTTGGTGCAAGTCTCGACACCATAACGAATCAAATAGCGAAAAAAGTAGAATAATAGCTCATAAAATAAAGAACTAGTAGCGTCCAGACGGACCGACGGACGGGCAGACGGAAGGACAGACGGAAGGACAGACGGACTAACAGACGGACGGGCAGACAGACGGACGGGCAGACGGACAAAGTGGCCACAATAGGGCATTTTTTTTATTTTTGTGGAAATGCGCTAAAACAATATAGCGTATATAAAAAACAAAGAAAAGGGTGAGTTTATGGATTTTGAAGACCCAATATACCTTTTTCAAACGCTAAAATTGAAAGTTTCAATATGCAAAAACTATGCATTTCCAGGGAAAACTAGTGCTGTGCAAAAATAATTATCAATTAATCGACAATTAGTCAGTAAAAGTAGCGCTGTGCAAAAAACGATTTATCAATAATTTCCGATTAATAATTTATCGTTAATTATTGATAATTTATCCATATATTGTGCATCCATGGTGGATGAATCGATAATTACCGATAAAGTAGGGATTAGTCCCACATCCATTATCGAGTTATCGATAATTATCAGTTGCTCGACGACTATCGATAAAACTAGGAAAATAGAAAATTACAGTTTTTGGATTTATCAATAGTCTCGAAATAATAATGAGAGAAAAATGTCGACGAGCCATGCTCGTCTGGCGGTTGTTGGTTCCGACCCCTGCATCTTTAGGGGAGAGGGGAACATCAGTGATAGACGAGGTAACTTTCTTACAGAGCAATTTGCAACACAGTAAGGGGACGGCCTGTTTAGTAGGCTGTCAACTTGCTGTAAAGTAGACAGGCGTATATTTCATACAAGAAACTTGGATTTACAGGGGACGAGTAAGAAGTTTGGGAAAGGTGGAGGACTATCTTTAATATAAGCGGGGCAGCCAACACTTTCAATCCATTTAAGAGTGCAAAATCTACAGAAGGGCATGTAACCGCTTTTTTTACATTTGTTGCACCTCTTTGGAGCTTCCCTGGCTTTAAGGTATATCCCCGAAAGCTGGAACAAGTTAAAAAAGTAATCGTGAACGATTTACAAAAAGCGCATTTCCTCCATTTCCCATTCGTAAGATGCAACTTTTGTTAAAATCGTAAAAATTCGGCCATAAATAAGAAAGATAGCGTTGCATATTATGTGCAATACATTTTTGATCCTACCCTAAAATTTTAGAAGGGTTGGTTTACAAATAACGAATGTGAGTCTGGGCATGCGCATTAGTTGTTTTGCATATTTTTAGTCGGAACGGATTGCGCATGCACAAAACAAATTTATTGCATGCGCAAGAGAGGTTTTTTGATTCGGCATTAATTTTATCTTTATTCGAGGTACCTATTTCATTTGAATATCTTAACAAATAAGAAAATTGGATTGCGCAAATACAAAAGTTATCATGCACAACTGCACCCGGACAGACAAACGGACGAACAGACAGACGGACAGACAGACGGAGACAGACAGACGGGCAGACGGCGATACAACATAATAAACGATCTCGAGGATAGTCAATAAATGGAAAAAGTGTAAAATTATGGTACATGAAATATATACATTTTTTGCCATAACTCTTTTCTTAAGCGGCAGCGAAAAAATTTCTTTCTTGGTGCCATCCTCGACACCATAATGAATCAAATAGCGAAGAAAGTAGAACAATAGCTATTAAGATAAAGAACTAGTAGCGACCGGACGAAAGGCCGGACAGACAAAGTGGTCACAACACCACATTTTTTTAAATTTTTGTGGAACTGCACTAAAAATTAGAATCCGCATGCACAAACCCAATTTTTTAATGGGCATTAGGCTTACAATTTTATTCGAGGTGCCTACATACAAAATTCCATTTAAATATCTTAAAAAATAAAAAAACTGGATTGCGCATGTGCAAAACAATTTTTTAAAATAAGCATCAATTTTTCTTTTAACTAAGAACATGTGTACGAAATTGCAAAGCGATCGGATATTTCTAAACAAAGTTATCGTTCACACGGACAGATTGACGGACAGGCAAAGGAACAGACGGACAGAGCAACACACAGACGACAGACAGCACTGCAAAATTATAAACGATCTGGGACTAGAATCACTTAGCTGTGGAGACAGAAGCTCGGAAGGCATCCGTAGGATCGGGCACGGGCGAATCTGGGAGGAAACCCTCAGATCCGATCCCCTCTCGGTGGAAGGGATGTGATCCGAAGAGTTATAAGGTCACTACGGCTTACAATTTTGGAGTTATAAGTTGTAATCGAAAAAGGGCTAATTTTTTGCGGTTTTTTGAAGATACCGATTTTCTACCAATTTTAGATAAGACTGTCTTTGCTATATTTTTTGGTAGTTTGTATACGGTACCTCTTAATATAAACAAAGTGGCGTACTTTCTCTCACTTCCGCCAGCTCTTCACGCTATAGATAGAGTATAGATAATGCTTCACAGAAGTTTATTTTTTAATATTTAAAAATAATTGATGCACATATATAAAAGGAAGCCGAGGACAGTTTTAGAGGATAAAATGAACAATTTAATGAAACCTTAATTGATTCTCAAGATCTAGAGTAGGCCCAACGATTTAATCGTATGTTTAAAACAAATATCTACTGACACCCTGTGGCTCTGACAG